AATAAAGGAGGCGGCAGGCAAGGAGCAGTGGGCGAAATTACCGATCTTTAGTGGGTAACTCACGTAGCCTCCTTGCCAAGTAGATCCTTGCGATATTGAGCCGTAATTTGGTCCTTGTTCTTTATTTCCAATAATGACATTATAGCCACCTCATCCTTATCATAAGTGTCATCGAACTCATGTATCGTTGATCCGGTCATGATCGATCGTGAAGGAGGATTTTGGAGAAAATCTCGGAGAGTTGCAGCGTCGAATAGTGGTTTGGTCATGATCAGGCCCTCAGGCTTGCCCTGTGATTGGTACTCATCTTCCATTTGTCTCTGGATCCTTCAACACAGAAATGTTAAAGATTAATTCAGGCCATGATGGCGTGACTTACCGTAATAGCTCGAAACTGTCCAGTTGTCGAAGGCAGTAGACAACTCCCTTTGTGAAAGCATCCGAAGAGGAAAGGGGAGTTCTTGATGGCATACACTGAAGACACAAGCGTGTTATGTCTCATTACTTAGGGTGGGAAAATTCAGATTGAAAGAATTTTGACAAGTGATTTTTCAAAAGTCGAGGGTGACACTTCTAGATGAGGACAACGTAGTAAAGTCAAAATCATTTGTAATGAAGAGGATTTCTAGCAAATTAGGTTAAGGTTGACATTGTTAATGAAGTGCCCCAATTCCGCATGGCTTGTGAAATGACTGCAAATCGAGCGGTCGAAAAAATCAAGTCGTGGACAAAACTATAGTTAGATCGTATCGTGGATTCAAAGGCAGATGGTACGATAAATTGTTCGCCCCCTTCGAAATGAAAGTATAGCTGCTAACAGGTACAGCGAAGAGAAAAACCTCAGGGAAACTGCCCAAACCCGCTAAAAGGAACCTTTGCTTTTCTCGTCGAATTCGGCATTGGAGGAGTCATACCGGCGTTGATGTCATCAACGCAAACGCTCTGCTCTGTCTCCATGTTAAACCGCTTGAACCCGAAGGCGAAGGACCAGCAGATGGGATAGCCAATCGGGGGACGTGGCAGTCGCGAAGGCAGTTTACCGCAGCGGTACCTTACGAGCGCTTCCTTCGAGGACCCATCACAACATTTTTTCAGGAAGGTTGTCTGTTGTGTGTTCTCAAAGACCTTCTTAGCGCGTGGCAAAAGTTTTGTTCGAACTCTTTCGTTTGTTAAC